CCAAAACCCAAAAAACCTCCCCATTCCGTCTCTAATCTCTAACTAACCCTAGCTGTCCCCAAACCCCTCACCGGCTCCGCCGTCTTCCGCCGCCCGAAAATCGCCTCACAGCGGCGGACCACCACCAAACCACCCCAAAACTTAACCAGATAATCTCCAGCCTTCCCTCTTCTCTAATCCACCTTTAGTTCCCCCAAATTCCTCACCAAATTGTTCGAATTCCAGATCTAAAAAGAACAGAAACCCTAGCTTACCCTCTTTTCTATTTTTTTTTATTTTTCTTCGAGTTTTCAAGACTCGATTTGATCGAAACCTACGCTAGTTGATTGCTCTCGATGAGAACGATTGATTAGCGTTATTTTTGGTCTATTTTGGAGTTTTTTGGATTTGTCGGAGTCATTCAAGCCAGCTAGGTATCTCTTCTGTTCTTTCTCCCTCTTTACTTTCTCCAGTTCCTTCTTTCTTCCTTTTCTGATTACGCATGTGCTTGGCCCTTAGGTTTATTTGAAGTCATTTGATGATTAATCAGTGTTTGTTTATAATTTAATGATTAGGTTAACCTTAATTACTTTGAAAGCATGCTAAACTGTTTATTTGAAGTAAATTAATTTAATTACTTGTTAGTTAGTTTAATTGCATGAGTTGTTTAATTTAATCAAGTTTAGATTAATTATGTTAACTATTAGGTTTATTGCATCATTGTTCCTTTTTTTCTTTTTGTTGCTGTTTTCCTTTTATTTTTGTTGTTTTTGAATTCAGGTTTGTTTTGGTTTATAAGGTCAATTAGCTAAGTGCCCTGATTGAATTATTAGCTTAGGTTTTAAATCAGGATATTTGTTTTAGCTAGGCTGCTTTGACTAAGTTTCAGTCAATTGATTTTTAAGTTTTGAATGATTTATGAGTTGAAAAGGTAATAACAAAAGTTTAAGGGGATTAATTGAAAACCAAATTAGGAAGTCCAAGTATAGAATTGCCTAGAAGGTTCTAGAAGATTCTAGAAGGGATTAATTTGTAATCAAACAACTGAAATTAGGTCAGATTAGGGTAAAAGGGTAATAACAAGAACTTAAAGAGGTTAATTTGGAAGTTAAAATAGGGAAAAATATCAGAAGGTTCTAGTATTGGACAGTTGTCCCTCTTTTTAGTGTGAAAATGCTGAATTTGGGTAAAAGGACAGATAGTTGTACCGAATCTATAAAAAAAGATGTTGTACTATCTCACATTTCTGAATTTAGGGTAGAATATTCCCTTTTATGCTTATCTTTGTGCATTCTATATAAGGAATAGACCACCACCCACTCACATACACGTTCATTAGCATATTCACTCTAAAAGAATTCTCTGAATACACACAAGAAAAAGGAAAAGCTCCCTGCATTTTCTTGCTCTCAAAAATCAGCTTTTGTGAAAGTTTCTATACTGGTTCACTCTAGTTCTGTTTTATTCTGATTCTTGGAGAGTTCAAGTTAGCTGTTGTTCTTTGGTTTTGGCTGATTTCCTGTTGTGCTGCTTGTTCTTGCTGCTGTTTCCTTTCTAGCTTCAGCCAGAGTTTCATTTTTGTTTCCCTTTGGTTTTTGCTGCTATAGGTATGTAGTTCTCCATCTAGGATCATTCATGTTGATGTTCATAAATGAGATATGATGTTTGTTCCTGATTAGTGTTGTATCTATTGCTCCAGCCTATTAGCTTTGAACTTGTTTCAAGTTTTCATTTGTTATTCAATGAATGGTGCCATGGAACTGCTTCTCTGAACTTTCCGACCACTCAGTTTTGTTAAAATGATATTTGATATTTTTGTGTCATGCTTGTGCTTGGTCCTGCATCATGAGTTGTGATGATTTGACCATTTTCGTTAGTACTATCTATTGTTTTGTACTCTTTTGAAGTATTGTGCTAATAAGCCTTCTTCTTATGAAATTTTCATTTCCTGATTGTATGTGGAGGTTTTTTTACAAGAGAAGGAAAGCTCTGAAAATATTGGAGTCCTCGTTAAGGGGCAAAGTGCTGACTTGCAAACATCTCTGTAGCTGCTTTTGTAATTCAAGACCTGCTTGAAAGGATGTAACAAGTGAAAGAGCCCAGAATTATGTTGGTTGCTATTTTGATAACAGAAGTTTCTTTAAGCATAGTGCCATATCTAAGACTTTCTGTAACTTAGATTTAGGGATTGTTTACTAATGAATGATTTATATAAAATTAGTGAGAAATGTGTTGTAATAATGTTTAAATTCGAATACTGTAACTAATAGCCATGGGTTAGACTATCTCTGTAAATTTTATATTTAGTGGGCCATCTGTGAGTTGGAGGTGGGATATGTTCTCCAGATTCTCTAAATAGGGATCACATGAGATGGGCCAGACTTGTAAATTGGCCCAACTGGGAATTGCTTGAACAAGTCTGGTTCCCAGGTAGTTGGGCCTGGGTACTAAACTCAATAACTTGGCCCCGATTATGTACCTATTTTTGAAATTGGTGAAATTATAATTTTAATTCAGAATGTTAGAAATCATACTAGTATCGTTAAGTTAAACTTAAGTGCAATAATCTTCCTATGTGATTTTCATTCCTGTGTGAACTGAATTGGAGTTGGACTGTGTGTGCTTTGCGATTCTTCATTTTTAAAACACAATCACGACAGGCCCAGTCCATTTAGAGTTGCGTCTGGGCCAGATTTGTAAATATTTAGTTGGCCCATTTATCTCATTTAGTACCATAACAATTAGTTTCTAGATTACCCCAAATAGCTAAACTTCTTATTCCAAATGCTTCCACGGACCT